GTAAAAATATAAGTCCTAGCATCCACATTCCTACTTTTAAAATCCAACTTCGATAAATTGTCTACATTAGACTAATTTAGTTTGGTTAGAGTAATTTAGACATCAATCACAAAATTATTATTTGTTTTCGAACAAATTAAAGTTAGAATAATTTAATCAATTGTTAAATAGTGGTCATTGTGGGAACAATATCCGGACTCATTGGTCCAATATATTACTTGTTATGATCCGTACACTTGTGGGATATAAAAATCGACAACAAGTTTTTGGCGCTATTGTCGGAAACTATTTTTATTTAATATTGGTTTTAATTATTTCTTGCTTTTGTTTGATTTTTTTTTTTTTTCAATTGATCTACTTGTTTTTCTTTGCTCCATTGATAGGGTATAAAAAGAAGCAAGAGGTCAAAAATTCACAATGATTAATCCCGACTTAAATGAAGGTGACATGCTCTTTGGAAAATTCCTCTTCAGACAAAAACTTAAAAAGGGGGATACGATCAACATATTGTATTTGATAAGGATGGCTTTCCGAATAGGCTAAATATCAAATTTATTGTTTATGAGGAGATTAAACCAACTTGTGAATATTGTGGGGTATTGCATCTTACAAAAAAATTGCTTGTTTTTGGCGATTACAAAGGAAGTAAGGAAAGCTATACCTGATGATCAATATGAACAAGATTATGACGGTGAAATAGTGACGAGAGACATCATCATACAAAAATATAAATGGATTGAAGATGAGGTAAGTTAATATGAATCAAATAACATGCCAATGGAGGATCTCTTCATTATTAAACCTGAGGAACCAACTAAAGAAAAAGAATATGTAGAAATGAATAAATTAATCACGAATAAGCCAAACGAATTAGTGGCATTCAAAGAAGAGGTGATTAGCATGCAGACTTCCAGCTTCATTGATTTTGTGATTAAAGTTGATAAGGAAATTGAAGTTTTCTTAGTTGAGTTCGAATTGGGTAATTTAGACAAGTCATACAATATTAAAAAGGGAAAAGTACTATTATGGAGGACGCGTGAAATATGGAACAAAGTCAACTTAAGTAAGTTAAACATAACCTCCAAAGCCATATTCAAAGTGCCATGAAGCACTTGTACAAAATTTTGCTAAATATTTTAAATTAAGCACTTATTGGGAGGCAACCCAATTTCTTACCATTTTATTTATTATGCTTTCTGTATTTGCATTGCATATAGTCTATTATGGTGCATTAATTTTAGGCATG